CTAGCCGTTGATATTGTCCTTTATCAACTGGAGGACTCTCCTCTTCATAGCACATTTTGTGATTCTGCTCAATAGGAGTATTAGAGGGTTTACACCCGAGCTTTCCTGCTTCTTTGAGAAGATCAAGAACATATTTCCTCTGGCTGATAAAGATTCCAATGGTAAGATGATAAGAAGCAAAAGAGTCAGCACAACAAGCCATATGATCAGTAGCATCAAAATCAACAACCCAGGAATGTTTAAAATCATTACATGAAGAAAGGAAAGAATGAGTTTTGGGGCTCATACCAGTCAAAGCCAAAGCACTAGTATCAGATGGCTTACTCAGATAATCAAGGATGGTTCGGAGCCGTTTTAACTCATCTAGACGAAATGCAGGTTGGGTCTCATTAGGTGCAGGAGTTATTCCAAAGGAAGTAAAATGCGTTTGACCACGCATCCTTGCCATCTTTTCTAAGACAGTTTGCTTTCCATGGAGGCGAAAGCATAAATCCTTGATATGACCTGTTCTTTTACAATAAGAACACCATCGATCATCTCTCTTAGGTTTAGAAGATGCACCAACATAAAACTTTGTAAAGGAACTCCTTTGAGAAGATGTCATACTGCACAAAAAACAGTCAACGAAAAAGGCTCTAAGAAGCCAAAAAATTTGGAAAAAATACCAAACGATGTCCGATCTGAGAAAACAACACAGATCCAGAAAGAGAACAAGGAGACGAGAAGAATGGTGGTGGTTCGGTCCAGAAACACCGCCGGGCGCGCCTCCACGCGCCGGAGAAAGCAGCTGCGCGTGGGCTTCACTCTCGGACAAAGAGGCAGCGCGTGAGAGCGCGTGGCAAGGCTTTTCCGGCTGAAATTTTTCCGGTGTGGTCGTCCGGTGAACGCGCACCTGTCTGTGGGTGGTTGCGGTTGAAAAGTCACCGGAAAGGGTTCTAAACGGTGAAGACAGAACTGGTTGAAGGCGGTCGGAGGTGTTTGGGTCGTTTGTGGCGGAGGAACGTTGCATAGAATGATAGAACGAAAAAAAAAAAGGTCAACAGTGGTCCCCTTGGTCCAAAAGGTCTCCGAAAAAAAATTTCCGGTGGCGGCTGATGGCGGCAAAAGGCAAAGAAATTAGGGTTTTGTAAAAAAAAGACAGTAGGCGCGGAAGCAGAGCCCTCAGGATCGAGAGCTCTGATACCAACTTGAAAAAGGGTTATGAAATATTATTGATTTGTATTTGAATCTGTACATAGGGGTCTCTATTTATAGAGACTTCTTGACCTGATTTTGACCTAATGGGCTTGGCCCAATATACAAGTAACGGACTAAATAAATACAAATAAATGACTACATAATTACTAATAAATGACTACATAATTACTATTTACAACATAAACCATCGTGTTAAACACTTTCAAATAAATGTCTATGTCCTATGTCACACGAGGAAAATGAAAGAGAGTTTTAATGTACAACTCAAGCAAGCATATGGTACAACATCCTTCATCTGATCCACCACCCTATGTCCATTGAGTCAACAACACTATTTTACCTTCTTCTTAAGGAGAGCAGAGGTTCTAAACTCAGCATCGTCCCTTATATAACTCCACCAAAGGTAAGTAAGAGGAATGCTTGTTGCATGCCATAAAGCATGAGCATCCACATATCCCATGTAAGGTGGGAAGTCAAATGTTTCCAAGACATTAAAAGATTACCACAAGCAAATTCATATAAATTCAGATAAAGGGTAGTTGTCACTATTGAGATATATAGTTCCACATTGGTTGTATGTCCAACTAATGTGAAGTTTATAAGGCCTTGGGCACTCCCACCCTTCGAGCTAGCTTTTGGGGTGGTGTATCCCAAAGTTCTTTACATGGTATCAGAGCTTGAGTGACTATAAGGTCACAAATTCGATCCTCACCGCCCCCCACTTTAAAGTGGAATTAAAATAAAAACACAAAAAGGTAAACCAAAAATGGGTCTGTGTAATATCCACGTTTTTAGCCCAATGGGCTCTCATGTGAGGGGGCGTGTTGAGATATATAGTCTCACATTGGTTGTTTGTCCAACTAATGTTAAGTTTATAAGACCTTGGACACTCTCACCCTTCGAGCTAGCTTTTGGGGTGATATATCTCAAGGTTCTTTACAGTCACAAAAGCAATCAAAGAAGCATAAACATGACTCCTTTAGGGAACATAAAAATTAAACGAGTATAACTCAATAAACAACCACAATAACAACAACACTTCATTTAAAAGTAGAAGATTACCATAAGAAAATTCGTAGAAATTCAGATACAAGATATGAGTTGTCACAAAGGCAATCAAGGGAGCAGAAATCATGACCCTTGTAGCTTCATCCCTCACATTAAAAGCTCGCAGTATTGCCAAAAGGAGGGTAAATCCAAGTAGGGCCACAGCAGAAGAGTAATCCAGCTTCTCTGTAAATTCCACAGCTCTACAGATAATCAAGTTTGAAATACACATCAAAACCGAAAAATAAAAGGTTAAATTATACTAGCAAAACAACCTCTCTTCTTCATAATAAACAAATATCAGACAAAGTAAGCAGCATTTGCATAATAATCATGTATCACGTGTATTACTATTGAAGATATTAGAATCTGCTTTTTCCTTTATCAGTTAAATGCTCGAATGAAATCAATAAATGTTTCCGGACATTGTGATAGTGTAGTAGATATAGAATAGGCCAAACCATACTTAATATATATTTGTTTTATATTATATATAAGCTTTATGATCATTGTGGTGTAAAATTTCAATTTTTACGAGACTACATAAAATACCATGTACACAAAGTGCAGGAAAATCAATATTAAGACACCCGCAAGAAAAAACAACTATGCTTTGAGGGCTAGTACTTCAATACTGAATCATAATTTCATATATACATAGCCCAGACCATAAAAGGAAATCATAAAGGGAAAAACTTACCTACTATGAAAAACAGCATTCCACAACCGTGAATTCATGGATAGAACCCCATAGATATGCCACAAGCAAGTGTACTCATAGTAAGTCTTCTTATCTGGCCTCAAAGGCAACTTATAGTACACAAGAATGAAAAAGGATACCCAGCCATGAAGCTGCATAGCAAGGTTAAGGGAAGACAGAGTAACAGCCACAGGTTCCTGAAACCATATATAACATATGCATGCTACAATCAGTAACCAAAACCAACTTAGTAATATTACCGAAGTATGAACCTTGTGCAAGATGTAAATGATGACGAACCCAAACCAAGATTCTAAATCAGTGATAAAGCCATCGATACTAATGCTTCCAGTCTTCTACAGCCCAATAACTAAAATACAAATTCAGACAATACAAGAAAAGATCAGTCCTACAGGCCCGTCTACTGCAGTGATCTCAAATTTGTTTATTTATTTATTACAATAAAAGAAGTTGTGACGTTAAATTAATTATTATATAAAGAAAATAAGTATGCCTACAATTATTAAATATCAGTACTAGTGATGCTACATCTTAGCCCAAGAAAAATAAGTGCAAGCAGTCCAACTAGGCATGCCATCAAAGTCAACAATAACATCAAAAAGGTATGATATTATGAGAAGTTTATACTTTACTTATTGCATTGTCACAAAAAAATGTTCATGAGGAATTTAAATGTTCTAAATGCTCCAAACTCACATGTGCTTTACAAATTGCAGGCTTTCATTTAAGGAGATAGTAGACCAATTCATATAATTACAAATTGTACAATGTGAAATGAGATTGAAAAGTGTTTTGGAGTACTGTTTTCAAAGTACCTAAGAAAACAATCAAAATATTGGAATAAGAGCCTTAAGCCTTGATAGTAAGGAAAAGCTGAGTGGGAAGGCTGTATTAAACCTAGGGTGATAATGGATTTATCAATCATCACTCGTGAGAAAACAGGCCTATGTAATGTTGCAACTTGCAATGCAGTATATATAGAAAATTTTTACTCAAAGCACTAAAACTAAACCTTTTACCCTCTGTTAAATTAACTCAATATTTCTAGAAAATAAAGGCACATGATGCTTGGTAGGAGCGAATGAGGAAGGAACAAAAACATGCATGTAGTAGTCTCATTGAGAGCTTGTAGTAATACTCAGACCTGAACTATTAATATTGAAACCAACTCAAAATTTTATTTGGATAATGCTTTTCTATACCATCCTTAATTGGCATTATGCATGGACTCTTGGGAATATACCAATAAAGGGAAAAAAACGCGCAATCCCTTATTCTAGCATGTGGTTGTGAAACACCAACACCTGTTGTCTTTATCCAAAACCAATAATAGCATGAAAGAGATGGATTTATGTTACACTACTTTTTAAAAAAAAAAAAATGAATATAATCTAAGACAAATATTTGTAATAAACTTGAGGCAGCAATCATCCCTCTAACTCCTCCAGCTCCACCAGGACAAAATGATAATAGAAGAATCGCTCCAATCTAATAGCATATTAAATCGAATTGAATAAAAAAAAAAAAACTCCTTTTTTCTCTTTTCACAAGAGACAAAAGGTTAAGATTTTAAACTCCTCCTAAATATGATATTATAAAGAATCAAACACGTGCTCTCATTTGAACTGGCATGTATCTGACAACTAAATTAACATCATTTGGTAAAAAAAAACTCTAACCCAAAACCCTCAAATCCTTTGACTCTCACAAATACACGTCATGACATATTCAATTCCTCTTCTCACTCTCTACCAAACACTTTCCCTTTTGAGAATCAGTCAAAACCCAAACACTAGCCAATTAACCAAAACCAGCTGGCTCTTCATAGTTCTCTCTCACTCTCACTCTCACTGACACACACACACACACTCACTCACTCACTCTTATCTTTGTGGTGCCTCTTTCTTCGAACCCCACCGTATGCTTTAATAGATATTTTCTTAACACCAAAGTCACCAACACGTACACCATTACAAAACCTATATATATATAACTACTTCACTCCAACAACTACAAAAAAACATAACTTCTCATCATGTTTACCTTCAACCCCTTTTCCTTGGAACTTTCTTCTTCATTTGACTCATCATCGCCGGTGTCCGGAACCTCTGGCGGGGCGTCATTTTCCGACGAGGAGGTGCTGCTGGCGGCGAGGAACCCGAAGAAACGTGCGGGGAGGAAGAAGTACAAGGAGACTCGCCACCCTGTGTATTGGGGCGTGAGGAGGAGGAAATCAGATAAGTGGGTTTGTGAAGTGAGAGAGCCAAACAAGAAGACAAGGATATGGCTCGGTACTTTTCCCACGGCGGAGATGGCGGCGCGTGCACACGACGTGGCCGCCATGGCGCTGAGAGGCCGGTCTGCTCGTCTTAACTTTGCCGACTCTGCATGGCGGCTTCCTGTCCCTGCCACCGCCGAGGCTAAGGATATTCAGAGGACAGCCACGGAAGCCGCTGAGGCTTTCCGGCCACCGCGGAATGAGAGTGTTGAGGAGGTGGCAGCCACGGAGGAGCAGAGTGTGTTTTATTTGGAGGAGGAAGAAAAAAAGACAGTGATGGAGGTTCCACAGTTGTTGAGAGATATGGCACTCATGTCCCCAACACATTGCTTCGGGTTTGAGTATGAATATGATGACGTGGACGTTCAAGATGCTGAGGTGTCACTATGGAGTTTTTAAATTTAATTCATTAATTAATATGTTTGATTCTTTCTTTTCTTTTTTTGGATTGTAGAGTATCTGTACCCTTTTTTTTTGTAATAGGGATACTATTTATAGGTCGAAACATAGAAAAAGGACTGAAAGAGATTTTCCTTTTACAACTTTTTTTGTGAAAGCAATAGTTGCCAAGTGCATCTCATACAATTTTTGTATAAGAAAATAATTTTGGGATGCTTTCAAGGTTCCCTTCTTGGTAACCTACTCTCAACAGTTCTTTAAGACTTCACCTTTCACAATTTGAAGTTATGATACTGAAGTTGACACCTGCCCTTGTTGGCATCAAATGCTTGATACACTTGGATACAAGAACCTGAGCTCTCCGTACTCATAGTTTATACATTACTCGAATTAAATTAATTTGAGATTGTGATTATTAAATGAACAATAAGTCACATAATCTTACTCTTCTAAGCAAGGAGTAAGGGAAATGCTGGTCCTCATTAGTGTCCCTCAGCTAGTGGATGAGATTCCTAATTGAAAATTGTCATGTAAATAGTGCTGGTTACTTCATAATGTAAGAGGATTTATTTGGAAATACAAAGTATGTCTTTGAACTTTTCTATAGAAACCAAAGCCCCTTTCTCTCGTACAATATGGAGCCAAGTGGCCAACTTGACCAGCTGAAGCGTGTATTGATGACCCTTTTCTCTCTTGAAAGTGCTAAAACCAAAGTTAATAATTTTGTCAAAAGCTCTAAAATATCTGAAAAGATGCTTACTTGTAAACTTATGGCCAAGAATTATACACGGAACTTTACTTATGTTAAACTCATTCAAGCCTTTACCCAAATCAATAGTTCTGACATCTATGTCTGATTTTTTACCTTCAATTTACTTTTTAGGAACTACTAAGTTACAAGGTAAATTATCAATACATCATGAGAACATCTTCTGTACATCTGTAGTAGATACATCTACCATTAATCAAGTGATATTTCGATAAAAAAAATATTTTTTTCTCTTTTCCTTACAAACATGACAGTCATTTCTCATTTTTTTATTGGATAGATGTACTGAGTAAATAGTACAGCAGTAGTACCATAGATATTTCCATACATCGGGAGGGTTTTTTTAATATTTTTTGCTTTTTATAAACCGTTCATTCATAAACTTTTTCATGGTTTTAACTTTCACGTTTCTGTCTAAACAAGACAAACTTCATGCGTTTGTCTACTATCATAAGCTATATTTTTTAACGAATCAAACGCTTGGTTGCAATTTCAACTTTTTATTCGGAAAATGTAATCTACAGTTATACCGCTTTGCATATATTAAATGAAGAAATCAACATTTTTTTGTTTCACTTCTTATTCTTCTCTTCTTTTTTGTACACCTTGGTTTTCTTCTTGAAGAAATGGTGAGGAAAGGGACAAGAAAAAAAAAACATAAAGTTCATGAAACTGTATATACAAACTTGCATTAATTTAGCTAGGAGATGGTGGTGCATTGCAGCCATTAATTAAACCTCATATACAAATTATTGTAAAGTGAAGCGATAATGCTAATGCAACTCTCTCATCCTGAAACGAAATTGAATGGTCAATCAAGTTCACTACTTAATCAGAAGCTACTGATTAATATGCCAGCAACTTCTTGAGTAGTTTCATTCAAAAGGGTATCTACCTTCTTTAGATCGGACTCTAGCAACTTTATGTTCCCTTCTGGAACATGTAACGGAACCTTATCTTCATAACCTGGAGCATTTATAGTTTGCTCTAATCTTTCTATTTGCCTGCATAATCAAAGCTCCAAAGATTGCTTGCGGCAAGAATTGAAACCAAGCCTCACCAGTAAAATGCTTCAATCCTTAATAACAGGACTAGCTCCGATTAATGGCAGAGTCAGAAAATTTAATGTACGGGGCGAAATTGTAAATGTAATATTCTTTATAAACAATCACTATCTATGCAATGGTGTCCTCCTTTGGCTCATTTGGAAAGCCAGGAATGATATTGTCTTTAATCAAAAAATTCTCAGCCAGGCAGAGTTAATCAGAGAAGCTAAGATTTTCGTTTCCAACTTCAAGGAAGCAGCAGTGCAGCTTGGCAGCTTGGGAGCTGGAAGGAAAGAGAGGATACAGAAGTTCATTTGTTGGCAGTTTCCTCCTAATAGCTGGATCAAACTGAATGTCGATGGCTCTAGTAGCATGGGAGGTACCTTGTCTAGTTGCGGAGGAGTGCTTAGGGACGCAGCTGGTAGATGGTTAGTGGGTTTTAGTAGAAACTTGGGAACCGATTCTTCTTTGAGAGCAGAAGTTTGGAGCATTTTGCATGGTACTCAAGTTGCTTGGACTTGGAATCTTGGGATTAGTAAGCTGTGTATTGAGGGGGACTCAGGTTGCTATCAACCTTGTTTCCAAAGGTTGTGAGAAGTCTCATCCAGTTGCCCCGCTCATAAACCAGAACAGTCACATGCTGCAAAGACAATGGAAAACAAAACTTAGCCATACGTATACGGAAGGGAACATGGTAGCCGATTTTCTTGCAAGCCATGGTAGTTCTTGGGATGATTGGGATCTCCATATTCTTCAGGAGCCTCCCCTGGATTGTAAAACCCTCTTAAGTAGGGATTTGATGGGCACTTCTAGCCCTAGACTGTATATTTTGAATTAACTATTTTCCCTTATTTTCAAAAAAAAAAAAAAGAACAAAAATGATATTCATAACTAAAGACTTCTAAGAATTTGAATGAGGTAATCACTGTTAATATGACCAAAAACAACACAAATGATGCTCCCGATTAAAGGCTTATATAAACTTGAAGGGGGCCAGTCCCCCTCGCTGCACCAGAACCGAATCTAACAAGTTTAACTAACACCTATTATGTTTTTAAAATATTAGGTCGCAAACTCACATTAAAAATGAAAATACTATGGCATATGAATTGAATTAAATTTGATCAAACCAAGTATGAGTATCAGTTTCCTGAGCAGTCCTCTAATTACAGTACATGCAATTCATCTGGAAGGCATTGAAAATATAAATTTCATTAAGAAAGTATGCCTCATACCTGAGGAAAACAAAAGTTATAAAATCATAAACACATAAACCATCGTGTTAAGCACTTTCAAATAAATGCCTACACGAGGAAAATGAAAAAGAGTTTTAATGTACAACTCAAAGCGAGCAAATAGTACAACATCCTTCATCTGATCCTCCACCCTATGTCCATTGAGTCAACAACACTATTTTACCTTCTTCTTAAGGAGAGCATCGGTTCTAAACTCAGCATCGTCCCTTATATAACTCCACCAAAGGTACGTAAGAGGAATGCTTGTTGCATGGCATAAAGCATGAGCATCTACATATCCCATGTAAGGTGGGAAGTCAAATGTTTCCAAGACCATAGCTAGACCTCCTCCCACCACTACCACCCATAATTTCCATCTTGCTGGATGGTTAGAAACACCTGCCCAAATTGCCCAAATAAGAAGCTGAGCAACAGCCATTATCATGCAAACTGTCATGTTCAAACCTGAAAAAACAGTTAATGCATCATCAGCTAACTCCCCAAAATCAGTGCAGCACGATTTCTGTAGACTCAAACTAGTTAGTTTGGGAATTGGGATAAAGGTGATGCTGATATAGATGCTGACATAAAAAATTATAAGATGTGTAACTCAACAGGACATTAAAAGATTACCACAAGCAAATTCATATTAATTCAGATAAAGAGTAGTTGTCACAAGAGCAATCAAAGAAGCATAAACATGACTCCATTAGGGAACATAAAAATTAAAAGAGTGTAACTCAATAGACAACCACAATAATAACAACACTTCATTTAAAAGTAGAAGATTACCATAAGAAAATTCGTAGAAATTCAGATACAAGATATGAGTTGTCACAAAAGCAATCAAGGGAGCAGAAATCATGACTCTTGTAGCTTCATCCCTCACATTAAAAGCTCGCAGTATTGCCAAAAGGAGGGTAAATCCAAGTAGGGCCACAGCAGAAGAGTGATCCAGCTTCTCTGTTAATTCCACAGCTCTACAGATAATCAAGTTTGAAATACACATCAAAACCAAAAAATAAAAGGTTTAAATTATAATAGCAAAACAACCTCTCTTCTTCATAATAAACAAATATCACACAAAGTAAGCAGCATTTGCAAAAATTCCGTATAATTACTATTGAAGATATTAGAATCTGTTTTTTCCTTTATCAGTTAAATGCTCGAATGAAATCAATAAATGTTTCCGGACATTGTGATAGTGCAGTAGATATAGAATAGGCCAGCCATACTTAATATATATTTGTTTTATATTATATATAAGCTTTGTGATCATTGTGGTGTAAAAGTTCAATTCTTACGTGACTACTTAAAATACCATGTACACAAAGTGCAGGAAAATCAATATTAAGACACCCGCAAGAAAAAACAACTGTGCTTTGAGGGCTAGTACTTCAATACTGAATCATAATTTCATATATATATATATAGCCCAGAGCCCCAGACCATAAAAGGAAATCATAAAGGGAAAAACTTACCTACTATGAAAAACAGCATTCCACAACCATGAATTCATCGATAGAACCCCATAGATATGCCACAAGCCAGTGTACTCATAGTAAGTCTTCTTATCTGGCCTCAAAGGCAACTTATAGTACACAAGAATGAAAAAGGATACCCAACCATGAAACTGCATAGCAAGGTTAAGAGCAGACAGAGCAACAGCCACAGGTTCCTGAAACCATATATAACATATGCATGCTCCAATCAGTAATCAAAACCAACTTAGCAATATTACCATTACACCTTTCATAGGAGATTAATGAAAGAACCTGAATCCCATAAACACGTTGAAATGGCCATTTTCCATGATACTTGACAGGCTTGTCACCAAGTTTAGTTCTTTCTTCCTCTCTAGCTACCATGCAGTGATACCGACAGTCAGTGCGACAGTCCCATTGTTTCCACCTCAGGTAGAGGGGTTCATGCATATACCAAGGACCATCAATTGGTTTTCCATCTGATGAGAATTTACAATGTTGGAAGCATCTATGCCCTACACATCCAGTTTTCTCGCACTGTTCGACACAACCTCTGAAATTTAATAGTCACAACCAAAATTGATCATATGGCAAGAATAGAGAATAAGATAATTATTTTACTGTTATTTTATATGGAAACAGCTGCATGATACCAGCAGTAACTTTGTTAACATATGCAGGTCAATGCTGGATTAATCAGCAGAACATTTACAATTTTGTTAGCTTCAAAGTATGAACCTTGTGCAAGATGTAAATGATAATGAACCCAAACCAAGATTCTAAATCAGTGATAAAGCCATTGATACTAATGCTTCTAGTCTTCTACAGACCAATAATTAAAATACAAATTCAGACAATACAAGAAAAGATCAATCCTACAGGCCTGGCTACTGCAGTGATCTCAAATTTGTTTATTTATTTATCACAATAAAAGAAGTTGTGATGTGAAATTAGTTATTATATAAAGAAAATAAGTATGCCTACAATTATTAAATATCAGTACTTGTGATGCTACATCTTAGCTCAAGAAAAAATCAAGCAAGCAGTCCAACTAGGCACGCCATCAAAGTCAACAATAACATCAAAAAGGTATGATATCTAATTTATGAGAAGTTTATACTTTACTTATTGCATTGTCACAAAAAAATGTTCATGAGGAATTTAAATGTTGTAAATGCTCCAAACTCAAATTTACTTACATGTGCTTTACAAATTGCAGGCTTTCATTTAAGGAGATAGTAGACCAATTCATATAATTACAAGTTGTAGAATGTGAAATGAGACGGAAAGGTGTTTTGGAGCACTGTTTTCAAAGTACCTAAGAAAACAATCAAAATATTGGAATAAGAGCCTTAAGCCTTGATAGTAAGGAAAAGTTGAGTGGGAAGGCCGTATTAAACCTAGGGTGATATTGAATTTATCAATCATCACTCGTGAGAAAACAGGCCTATGTAATGTTGCAACTTGCAATGCACTATATATAGAAAAAATTTACTCAAAGCACTAAAACTAAACCTTTTACCCTCTGTTAAATTAACTCAATATTTCTAGAAAATAAAGGCAAATGATGCTTGGTAGGAGTAGGAGTGAATGAGGAAGGAACAAAAACATGGCAATGCATCTACATTAAACAGTTGCAACTAAATAGTTGGGAAACATAAAGGCCGCCAACTGTTTTCCAGAACATCTCAAATGCAGAGATCCGTATTGTATATTAATATCATACGAGTTCTAACACATTAAAACTACCATCGTGCTAGCAAGACATTTCAAATTCACAAACTAAGATCAACCCAAAAAAATTAATATCTTCCATCCTCACATAGTAATGAAGACTCAAATGCATCAATTGCTAAAGTTGGAAAAAAGTAACCCACCTACTTATTCAGTTATTCTACCCACTCTTTTATGGTTAATGCCTCGTAAGTCCCACTTTTTCCTATTTTTAGCATAAAAGTACCTACTTAATCATTAAAGATAAGCTCCTGATTATGATATCTACTGGTACTATTAACACACCACAAATTATCAGAAGCAAATACACAAAACAATGCAACTCCCAAAAAAACAACTAAAAACTAATACCACAGCATAAGAAAACATTATCTCATAAAACTCTAATCTCACACTCACACTCCATGCTTGACAATTGACATCAAACACAAAAGAAAAAGTGCATCATTATTCTTTGCTCCTATGCAGGCAATGAGAATTCTTGAATCTACCAAAACCAACCACATAATATATAGATATCATGATTTTAAAAAACTCCAAGTCCACATTATAAACTCAACCTAAAATACTTATACGGAAAAAACAAATAAAATAAAATAAAATTCCAAGTTCCAATTTTTAAGGAACCCATAATAGTTTTCTTTAAGGCCCCCAAAATCTTATCAAATGGTTAGAGTGAAAAATTTGGAGAAAAATCTGGATAGCAAGAAGAAAATGGAAGAGAGAGAGACAGAGACAGAAGCTTACCGGTAAAGTGGATCAGCGTCGCCGTCGCTGGCGGCGAGGGGGCGGAGGACGCAGCAGAGGGCGGCGAGGATGAGGAGGAGGGATTGAAAGTGAGTCATCGGATTCACAATAAAACGAAGTCAATGGGGAAGGAGAAGGAGGAGGAGAGAGAGAGAGAGAGGAGGTTCCGGCGAGAATAGACGGCGAGTTTTGCATTGACGGAGAAGGGTTGTTGGGGTTACATTAACGGCGGAGCGTGGCGGCGGTGGCGGTTGATACCGAACGATAAGGAAGTGAGTAAACTCGGAGCGAGTTAGGACTCAGGAGGGGGCAAAAACAGGACCACTGGACCAGAATCTCGTGAAGAGAAGATGACAGAAATCTCAGAGACACAACATTATTATTATTATTTTATCATTATTCTTATCACTAATAATTAGCCTTATTACGTGTACCTTAAAAAAATAAAAGTTTCCACTAACGTGGCCTGAATTTTGTTTTTTATTTATTTAATGTTTAGTACTTTTAATTTTTTTAATCAGTATTAGAATATTTATTAGAAAAAATCAGAAAGAAATAATTTTGTTCTTATCTTGAATAAATTATTTAATGTGTGCTCCTCCATCATGTGATTTCAATCTTATTTTAAGCACACTTCATATGCTCTCCAACTACTATTCCAATGGATTTTTTTTTAATAGTTACTTAGAGGTAATGTGAATTGTTTTGTTGTTTTTAAGATGGATCTCGTATTATAAAACTTGTGTTTTTTTTTTAATATAAAAAGAACTGGTCTAATTTGTTCTTTCTCAATTTTTAATGAGAAATGAAGTAAATATATTAAAAAATAAGTGTGGAGATTAAGTGTTTTTTATTGAAAGTTAGAGAAAATTAGTATTTTGTTTAAAAGTTAAATTAAAGATTTTTAGTTTTAAATGTATATTCTTTAGCGCAATGTTAAATTTTAAGTTTAATAATAAGTATATCATATGAGATTATGCTTAAAAAAAAATATTTTTGTCTATTTATATTATATCATGACACTGTATGAATCGTCCAAAATATTTAATAGGATAACATTATTCTATCAAATTATTTATCTAATGTACATCAAAGGCAAGATAGTATATGAGTTTATATTGTCTATTTCTTTTTTTATTCACATTTTGCCCTTTATCTTATCCCTTTATATCGTATCATATCCACAAAATGAAGACATGATAGGATAAGAGGGCTAGATAAAAATATATCTTATCTTGTGTTTTGAGTCTCTTTAACTGGTTCATCCTTAGGACAAGTTCGGTTCGAGCACTATCGAACCATATAGAGGGGGCGATCAATTTTATTTTTTTCATTTTCAGAGCTCGAACACGAAACATCTGGTTTACGGACACAAGTTCCTTACTAGTTATGGCAATGGTGTTTGGTTATCTTGCGTTTTATGTGTAGGAGATAAGTAGTGTGATAGAATAATATTCTCGTATATGATATTTGAGTTGAACCATATAATGTTATGACATAATATAAATAGACAAAATTATCTTTTTTTAACGAATTTCATATGATTTTTAAAATTGATTTACATTTTTCTTTTTGTATTTTTTAATTTAATGTTTAGTACTTTTACTTTTTTTAATCTGTAGTAGAATACTCATTAGAAAAAATCAGAAAAAGAAATAATTTTGTTCTTATCTTGAATAAATTATTTAATGTGTGCTCCTCCATCATGTGATTTCAATCTTATTTTATGCACACTTCGTATGCTCTGCAACTACTATTCCAATGGTTGTTGTTTTTTTAATAGTTAGAGGTAATGTGAATTGTTTTGTTGTTTTTAAGATGGATCTTGTATTATTAAACTTGTGCGTTTATTTTTAAATATAAAAAGTACTGGTCTAATTTGTTCTTTCTCAATTTTTAATGAGAAATGTAAATCTATTTAAAAATAAGTGTGGAGCTTCAAGTGTTTTTTATTGAAAGTTAGATAAAATTAGTATTTTGTTCAAAAGTTAAATTAAAGATTTTTAGTTTAAAAATATTTTATATATGTAATATTAATGTATATTCTTTAGTGCAATGTTAAATTTTAAGTTTAATAATAATGTATATCATATGAGATTATGTTAAAAAGAATACATATATTTGTCTATTTATATTATATCATGACACTATATATATGAATCGTCTAAAATATTTAATAAAATAACATTATTCTATCAAATTATTATCTAATGCATATCACACACAAGATAAGATATGAGCTTATATGGTCCATATCTTTTTTTATTCTCATTTCGTCTTTTTTATCTTATCCATTTACATCTTATCATATCCACAAAATGAGGACATAATAGTATAAGATGGTTGAATAAAAGTATATCTTGTGTTTTATGTGTAATAGATAAGATGGGATAATATTCTCCTATCTGATATTTGAGTTGAACCATATAATGTCATGATATGAAATAAATAGATAAAAAAAATTTAACGAATTTCATATAATTTTTAAAATTGATTTTTAAATAAAAAAAATTTGGTAAATTATAATTTTTTTTCTTTTACTTATTTAGACATTGGTTCTTATTTTAAATTATTAAAAAATTTAATAGTCATAATTTTAACTATAATATATATAAAAAAAATTATATCATCACGACATAAATTTTTAAAAATTAAATTTTAAATTGATTATCAATATTGGAGCTGGTGACTAGTGATAGTGGCTAGGGGTGGTGGTGGCTAGTATGGTAGTATGGCCAGTTGTGGCAATAGGTAGTGGTGATGGAGCTAGCGCCGACAATAGCTAGTAACGATTGTGGGGACTAACTAACGGATGGTGGCCGATTTCAACAACATCAATGGTGGTGGTGGTAGGTGGGGTTGTTTGTGGAAGTGGTGATGATGGCAATACCAGCGGCAACTTGTGGCAAATGTGATGGCTGACTGATGGAGGTGGTTGTGGTGACAATAATAGCAATGATGGTTGGTGCCTAATACCTAATGATTAAGGGTGGTGCAGGTTGGTTTGGTAGTGGCAGATGGAAGTGTTGGTGGTGGTGCCAGTGACCGATGGTGGTACTTTGTTGATGGATGGTGATGGCGGCTAGTTGGTAGCAATTGTTAATCCTCATGTGCCCAACAAAATTCATAGGAAAAAACATAAGATTATATTTGAGAGTAGTCGATTTATTCATTTTCAGAGTGCCGAAAAATCCTCACAACACTATAGGATTGCAGTGGTATCCAGTGTTATTAAAGCTACCCTGTCCTGATTAGTCAAACTGGTTGAACCAAGAATCGGGTCATTAATCGATCTGGTTCAATCAATTAATCGGCCATGCATACAACTCTATAAAAAACTGGTGAATCGGTCATAAATCGGGTTGAACCGATGCTAACCCACTAAGTCACTAAGTTAGATCACTTTGGTTGTCATTTTACTTTTACTTATATATTTATTATATATCTTTATATAAATTCAATTTAAGTTGTTCAACCAGTAAAGTAACCAATTGACTCGATACCTCGACTGAGTCGATAACCACTGTAATAAAATTGATTGTATATACCTAATGCTTTCATTCTCACTCCACTCCTAAATACTCCCATTCTCACTTAGATTATTCTTTAAATGTGGAGTTTTCTTTTTATCAACCAATAAATAATTAGACAAAAAAAATTGTAATTAGAACAAGATTTAAAATATTTTCTTGGCTTTTTGACCATAGTACTTTAGTTTTCAAAAGGTTTCATCTGAAATTCATAGCCAAACTTATGAATAAAGTAATGTAGGGCGACGCGAAGGTGAACATGTTTAAAAATTCACACCATTAATGGTGAGAGTTACTCGTAAGTTTGCTCCTGCATGAACATGTAGATGCCACTGCCGCGTTCAGGTTGCATTAGAATAACGAATCTAACCCCCCCCTCCCTACCGGTATCACACTCTGCTCTCCAAAAATCTCACTTCCATCTCTCTAATCTCCACCTCTCTAATTTCCACCTCTCATCTCTCAAAGTGCATCTGTTCCCCCCCCTCCCCCATTTTCCTTCTCCAAGTGAAAACTGTATTTCTTTTTTCAAGTAAGTTACGTTAGACATTTATTATTTATTTCATTAAACTATTGTTTATTTCATTAAGTAGTTAGTTTAGTAATCATTGTTAGTATTGTGATAACCTTAAGTTAGTTGCCTTAAAATATGTATGTTGATGTAAGTAATTTATCTTGTTAGTGAATTGAAAAATATAATTATGTTGTTGGTTAAATAAAAAGTAAAATGCTAAAAAGATATTATAACTTATATTTAACATCTAAAGTACTAGAAAATCACCAAATATCATTGGCACAAGTGGTAATGAGCTTGTATCCCTTAACCCGAGATCTCGTATTGTTAGCAATAAATTTTGTTATTTTAATGGACTTATCTTTGTAACATTTGGGTTGAAGAATGGTTACAAGTGTAGGATAATGGGTCAATTGAGCATCAATAATGTAAGGTAAAAAGAAAGAAAAAAGGGACAATTGATAAATTACTGATTTCTTTTACTATTTTTACTGCAGTGAAGAAAGAAGCCACGTGGATGAGATAAAAGTAAGAAATTAAATCTGATCTAAACAATTGGATAGAGCTATGATGGACAGCTAGCACTTGGGATATTTTTCTTAGTTTTTTTTAGTTAGAAGGTATATTAGCTGGGTGGTAGTCATCAGAAAGTTAGAGTTAGTTTTTGTTATGCTACTTGTAAAAATTTTCTGTGTGCATCTTCTTGAGCATTTGTAAAACTTGTGCAATTAATCTACAAGTTCTTGAACTCAAAGTGCACTGACAACGCATCTTCGCGGGAAAAGATCGATGATCTACATGCAAGCTTGTGTTTCTAAATTTCTGCAAGTTCATCCTAGCTCTAGTTTAGGAATTTTGGTTCTTGAAGCGTTGGTCCGTAAACTTTCACTATGAGTTCACTTTTCTGGATATTTGGTAATGCATGTTGCTTTTAGTACAAATTTTGCAATTTTTGTTTGTTAATATGGGTTTCTAAATTGTTATTTTGGAATTCAAGATGATTTGATGATCCCCTTATTTTTATGAACACTGTGATGCTTTCTTTTATTTCATTTGATTAGCAACTCTCTTAGTTTCAAGAAATCCTGGGAAAGATTCTTGAACATTCTTGCAAGAGCTATGAATGGAAATCAAGTGAATGCATTCTTGCTAATTGAACCCTTTCGGTTAGGGATAACTAGAGGAGGAATTTGACATTTTTTGTATAAAGATTCAAAAGACCTTGGGAAAGGAATTTTTTGGGGATTAAAACTAAAATTGGGAAATTACAATAAATGTGCTTTAGTAGTTCAATAAAAATGCC